TCCCAGACAACGCAAGTCGACTGCTACGAGCATCGTCAAGGCTCAATGAGCTGGGGCTAGAGGAATTACTGGCCAGAGCCGGAATATTCTAAAGACGACGCGGAGCCGGTCTAAGCAGCTGTGGAAGCACCCGCACCGCCAACTGAGGATATAAGGTGCTATAAATGTGGCGGACTGAACCACTTCTCCAAAGACTGCCGGGCGGTCGAAGGATACGACAACCGAGGAACACAGAGACGTATGCGTTGCTACAGCTGGGCCACGAGCAAGAAGCTGTCCGGGAAACGGGCGGGGAGTAGCTACAGCGCCAGTCTTCCCCAGATCGCCGCTGAACAAGGCGCTACCCGCAGTGAGCGCAGGCGGATTAATCGGGCATGAGCGCTTCGCGCTTTGTTGACACCGGTGCACCCAGACCCTTGGCGCAAGGCATGTTGTGACACGTGGAACGAGAAAAAAAATATTCCAGTTCTGACTGTTGGCAGGGGCTCGCTAACCACTTGTGGAGTGGCGTCATCGCAATAAGCATCGGCGATGGGCCTGCAGTAGCTGTACAAGCCCTGGTCGTGGACGGAGGGCTGCTCGGCTATGATCTGCTCCTGGGAATGGACGTCATCAAAAAATTGGGTGGTGTCCATGTTGACAACGAGGGTCGGGCGCGTTTCACTGAAACAGGTCTTGCTCTAGGTGCAGCAATGGAGCTGGAACGGCCTGACTTTCATGCGGAGTTCGACCAGCGCACAAAGTCCTGGACGGTATCATGGAAATGGTCAGACGATCAACCACCAGAGAAGCTGTACAACAGTGTGCCGGAGTATAAGATCCCCCCGCGAGCTCGCGTGCGAGTACGACAAGGAGTTGCGAGCCTGGATTAATAACGGATAGTTGGTTCCTTATCCAGAAGGAATTGGGCCCCTTAAAGGGCCTGATCCCGCTTAATGGCGGTTCTCCAGCACAACAAACAAAAAGTTGAGGCCGGTGCTCGACTATCGAGAACTGAACGAGCACGTGGACCCTTTACAGCCCAGGGGACGTGTGTACCAAGAAGCTAAGGGAATGGCGACAAAGCAGGATCAAATGTATCTGTGCTGGATCTTCGCAAGGCATACCTTCAAGTGCGTAGCACCAATCACTGTGGCCCTATCAAACTGTGCTTATCAAGGGGGAAAGGTATTGCCTGACCCGCATGGGGTTTGGACTCAATGTGGCGCCATCGATTATGCAGATGATTGTTGACGCCATTCTGACGAAGGATGAGCGCATACAGCAGGCAACATCTGCATATATTGATTACGTGAACGAGGGAGTCATAACTGCAGCGCGCGTGAAGGAGCATCTCTACAACTTTGGCCTCCTCAGCAAGGAACCGGAGAGACTACAGGATGGTGCACGGGTGCTTGGTTTGCAGGTCTGGGGAGAAGATGACGTTCTGTATTGGAAACGGGGAAACGAACTCCCAGATATGCCCTCCGTTGTCACGCGGTGAAGCATATTTTCCTTGTGCGGCAAGTTAGTTGGGCACCTTCCTGTAGGTGGCTGGCTGCGTGTTGCGGTGGCGTTTATCAAGTGGAGAGCATCTGACGTCACCACTGGATGGGATGACGAAATTCACGACGCCCCTCTCAACACCATGATGAGGGAGGTCCTCGCCAGAGTACGAGAAGGAAGACCCAGCACGGGCAGATGGTGCGTTGACAGCCAAGACCTCTGTGTGTGGGTTGACGCAAGCTCACTTGCAACGGGCGATCGATAGTTCACGATGGAGCCGTGGTAGAAGATGCTTGCTGGTTACGTCCAGAAAGGGACTCCCAGCACATAAACCTAGTGGAGCTCGATGCTGTCATCAAGGGGATCAACTTGGCGATCCTCTGGAAGTCGACCACCCTGCGTCTGTTCACTGATTCCGCTTGCGTTTATAAGTGGATCTCTGATACCTTGACCGGGAGGGCCAGGGTGCGGACTAAAGCCACCAGCGAGATGCTTATCCGACGACAGCTCAACACGATCGTGAAGCTAGTGCAAGAGTACGCACTGACAATGGAGGTGTCCCTGGTCAAATCTAGCCTCAACAAAGCAGATTGTTTAACGAGGGTGCCGCAAAGGTGGCTTGACGCCGCTTAAGAAAGCCATTGAGCCCGCGGCAACCAGCCTGCGCTGCGTCCGTGAGTCCCGTTCGATTTAATCAAATCAAAGAAGTCCACCAACAAAGTGGGCACCCTGGAGTCAAGCGGACACTGTATTTTGCCAAATTGGTTGACCCAGGAGTACAAAAGACAGACGTCAGGAGAGTGGTTAGAAGCTGCGTGGCGTGCCAGTCTATAGACCCAGCACCTGTTCGCTGGAAGAAAGGGCAGCTGAGCGTGAGGAACCACTGGAGCCGGCTGGCGATAGATGTTACTCACCACAACGGCGAGCATTTCCTGACACTCATTGATTGTGGTCCATCCAGGTTTGCGATATGGCGGCTGCTGCGTCGGCAAGATGCAGCCACTATAATCCGTCAGTTAAACCGGAGATATTAACCGACAATGGCACCGCATTCACCAGCGAGCAGTTCGGGAAGTTTGTGGATGGCTGGGGAGTGCACCCACGGTTCCGTGCGCCCACGCACAGTGGAAATGGAATCATCGAGCGGAACCACAGGACCGTCAAGACCATCGCAGCCAGGACGGGCTGCGCGGTGTCTGAGGCGGTCATTTATACAACGTGACCCGAAGGATGATGTCTCACCTCTACAGCGCCAGCAGACACATTGCATAGGTACCACGTCAGAGTGAAGAGCATAGAAACCAACCCACTGGACGGAACTGAAAGTAACCGGAGAGAGGCTGAAGAAAGGCGTGCGTCGTCTGGATTAAAAATCCGCACAGCAAGTGCACCACGAAACACGGAACCGGACGTCACTGAGGTGATCAGCCCACAGGCGGTATGGGTCGACAGTGTGCCCCATCTTGTTAAGGACCTGCGTCCGGCACGCAGTTGCAACCACCGCTGGACGATGAGAGCTTAATCGGAATTTGAGACCAGTGAGGCATCGCTCTGGTTCACGCCAGCCCCATCAGGCAGTGACTCGGATATCAGTAGCCTTCCAAGGGACGCAGTGTTTTTCGACCCTCAGACCTCAGACAGGAACACAAGCAACGATGAGGCTCGCAGTGTCCCTCTTCGAAGAAGTACCCGGCGCAAGCGATCATCGCCTCCCTGTCAACTCTGTGATCATGAGATCAGGGGGGAGTGTGGGGAAAATAGAAACGGCCTACCTCACAAACGCTCTCGTATCTGTCTGGCCTGTGGGTTGAGAAAGGAAAGAAAAGATCCAAGATGGCGTCCGTGACTTTTAATATTCACGGTCTCATGCAGTCACGCAAAGTCGCGTTACACACATGCTAATGAGGTGTGTCTGGGCTCCATAAAAGCAGGTTGCTTGGAGACATTGGCAGACCAGCATTACACCCGTGCTTGGTGTACATCGTTTTGCGTTGCAGCGTGTCAGACATTTTTCAGACGGAAAGAGTTGCGTCCCTTACACTGTTGAAGTCGACTCATTTGCTACATATGTTTATTAAATATAAGTCTAAATATCAGGAAAGTGTTTCAATAGAGGATGCAAAATGTGACACGAAGGCACATTGGAGTAGTGAAAGATGGTTTCCAAAAGCTAAACAAAGTATTAAGAAACAGGAAAATTTTGTTAGAAACCAAGAAAAGTCTTAAATTGCTTTGTGATGTCAGTCACCTTGTATGGTAGAGAATGCTGGGAAATCTCTCTGACAGCTAAAAAGAAAACTGAAATGTGGTTCTGCAGAGAATTAGACAATGAGGAAGCAACAAGGAAATCTTTAAGAAAATGTCAACAAAAAGAACTCTTAATACCCAGAATCAAATGAACAAAAATGAAATTTCTAGGACATATAATGAGAAAGGACAGCTTGGAAAACTTGATCCTCAAAGGGCATATTAACAGCAAGAGATCCAGCGGAAGACAGCAAGCCACCTACCTGATAAGCTTAGGTAAATAGATGGATAGGGAAAACAAGGAGTGGGAGGTTTGGTAAAAAGAGAAATGCTGCAATGAGCTACAAGAGATAGGAAATTGAGGAATGCCATGATTATTCACATACTGAAGGGATACACACATTGAAGAAGATACTTGTTGTGCAATGAAATCTATTCTGATCTAACTTAGGCATCTCATTGACAAATTGATGTGTGTTGATCGTTTCAATTTTCTCACTATCCATCAGTGTTCTCTGTCTATTATTCAAAGCCCTTCTCAGAAAGGATAATGTACACCCTTCCTCCTCCAGCTATTATTTGCAAAAGTAGATGTTTCCATGTCTTCTTTGGATATGGGCTTCCTATACTGAAATATATAGAAATTTTTGCCTTACAAATCTTGTCCATTCTATAGCTAACCTTTGATAGGATAATGAAATTCAAAATTAAGTAGAAATTCTGTGGCTATACAAATCTTGTAAATCAGCTCTCTTTTTTTTCATTTGTAATTATAGTTCTATTAGATAGAAATCTTACGGCTCCAAGATTATTGTTCTGTCCTATTGCAAGATGTGATAACTGCATTTTAACCCCATTTTGGAATGTGTTATACTGGAGCATACCTATTCTATTGTTAATAGACTCTCCCAGCTATAATAAGTAGGAGTAGTAGCAGTCACTCAGTGAATTGCTCAGTCGGTCAATGCCGGACGACCGTTAGTTGAATATTAAAGTATCAGCCACCACAACTAGATTGCTGTGTCATTAACTATTATATCAAGTTCCTAACATTTTACACGTCGAACATATTTTAGGACTGACTTATTGAAATACAAGCCTCCACTGTGAAACTACTCTATAACAGAATGATGGCTCATTTGTTCTTTTATTATTATTATTATTATTATTATTATTATTATTATAAGGGAAAGTAAACAATAATTCTTTGTTTATTTTATTCTTGTGAATAATTGTTAAAAATGTTTATTTTTATTTTATTCTTTTAGGGTGACACTGAAAAAGTTAAAAATCTCCTGTCTGATGGCGTTGATGTCAATATCAAGGACTATGCAGGGTGGACTCCTTTGGTAAATACATGTTTATTGCTGAATGAAATCATTTGTTGAAAATTTGTAACTGTTTGATACCAAACTTTGTTTATTCACTGATTTATTTAAACACTTTTCCTTATCTTGCAAACTTTCTACATTCTTCTGATACTTGTTATATATGGTCATATCCTCAAAATTGAACTGAACACTTTATTCAATTCACAGGAGGCAGGCAGGTAGACTGTTCTCATTTTGTTATCCATGTATTTGTGAATTCTTTCCTGTTGTTCTTGTGATATACTTAAAATTCCACTTAATAAGTTTATGGAGTTCACTGCCTGACTTATGGATTGAACTCACAACTGTCAGATAAATTGCATAAACTTTGCTTCCATTAAGGCCACCAAATTTTCACAAAAGTCTGAAATGAATTGCATAGCAGTTTTTATTTATTTTTACACTTCTATTCACAGTGGATGATGATTAAATAAAATAAAAAGTGTAAATGTTTACATAAATAATACAAAAATTTTATATTTTCAAAACTGTCATATTATAACAATATTAAAAATAAAGAAAAATTAACACATTAAAAGAAAAATAACATTTCATAAAAATAAGAAAGGTACCGATAATTATTAGGTACCTATCTTATTTATGAAATTTTATGGTATTATTTTTAATTATTAATTTTTTTCATAACTAAGATATAAAAATTAATAATAAATAAAAATGATACCATAAAATGCCATAAGAGATGTACATGAAAATTTAGGTAACTCTCTTATGAAATTTTATCTCATTCTCAGTTATGAAATTTTAAATTTATTTTATTGTTAGTATTTTAAATTGTATTTTTCCAGAAATCATCTTCAAACGTAAGGCTATAAAGCTAAAGTACCTCAATACAAAGTAGAGCAATATTATTTATTTTAGGATATTACACCGAAAACATGTCAAAATCGCTACACAATTGCATTCGTGTTTTGATGCACCTCGTCAGGTGATTGTAAATTACTGGCGAGTGAACAATTTATTTAGATTTAAAAGAAAAATACAACCTCTTTTTATGAAATAAGAAAAAAAATGGGACTTATAAGGTTTGTAAGCTTTACTCTGATCAACCAATCAAATATGACCTCTGTTAAATTTAAATTAAGTGAAGAAACAAAAATTTTTAATTATTTTTTTATAAATGGATCATGATCTGTAGATTGACAGCTTTGTCCTTTAATTAAATCTTTTCTTTAAAATATATAACCATTTGTTCTTTAATTAAAAGGAATTTTTCTTTCAAATATTTTATATCCATATGTTTTTTAATGAAAAGGAATATTTTTGTAAAAAAAACTACTAAACAAAAATGATTCAACCTGACAATTGCTTGTTTAAAATATATATGTATCTGTTTATATCAATTTGTTCTTTAATTAAAAATATGAAAAGCTGTTCTTTAATGACAAATCTTTTTGTTAAAAAAAATGAACAGTCTTAAATTAAAAGGCAAAAATATATTTGTTTTTATTGGAGAGAAATCTTTTTGTTTCAAACTTAACATTTGTAAACAAAGAGTTGGAACTTAAGTTTCAGATGTTGGGGATGAATTTTACACTGTATTAATATTACAAATGGGACACATCTTCTAAAATGATTAAAAAAAACAAAAAAAACCTATATTTTTCAATTCTGACAAATGTTGTTACCTGAAGAAGATCTAAAGAATGCTTATCTACAAAAGTTATTCTTGGAAAATTTTTCCCTATTTTTTGTGAATGGACCTGTCTAAGTAGTTTCAACAATTTTTCAGTACCCTCTTTCTGTGTGTATTAAACATTCTTTTTTATTTTATTTAAGTTTTTTGTTTTGTCCACTTTTTTTTTTTTTTTTTTTTTTTTTTAATAGCATGAAGCCTGTAACCATGGTCATGATAAAATTGCTGAGTTATTATTGGATAATGGAGCTCTGATTAACATACCCGGATCTGAGAATGATACACCTTTACATGATGCTGTTGTGAATGGCCGTGTCAAGTGTGTACAGTTACTTGTTTCTAGGGGTGCTTCACTTACGCTCAGGTAATTGTTGCTTCTTTTTTTTTTTTTATACTAAGGTCATCACTGTGTGATCCAGTTAATGATATTTAGAACAGTAAAATACATTGTGTCTTTAGCAGGTCAACAATAATCACAGATTATTGTATGACACTGAAAATCATAATAAAGTTTCTAATTTTATGTCTTTTTAAAAGAGAACCTATGAAAGCATCAGAAAGTGACATATCTGGCATTTTACGTTATTGCCTTTCTTTTTTGTTCTAATTATTGGTACATGAACTGTAATTAAAGGATCACGCATAATAAAATTCATATAACCAGGGGAGGAGTTAAGGTGTCAAATTGCCCTGTGAAATAGAACCCAGAAGAGGGCAACTATCAGTTGTTGATCATAATGCTTTAGAATACAAGGAAAAGGAGAGAAGACTTGCAGGTAGCCTAATGGTTATTGGTGCAGAAAGTAGAATTGTAGAGCAGAGTTCAAACTCTGGATGATTTTGTTGAAATCACTTTTGCATTAATGCCCTTACGAAAGGCATGAATCCATCTCCCCACTCACCAGCTATGGTGTTAGCTAGTTTAGGAGAATGACTACTCTGAATTCACAGCAGTGGAAAAGGAAATGAGAAATCAATCTGCTGTTTTTCCCAAGAAGTTATGGAAAGTCACAGGTAGTAAAGACAAAAGGAAGCTGTGGAGAGCCATGGCCGTATACATTTTTATCTCCCCCCTCATATCTACAAAACTCTGCCTCTTACTCTATAAATAACTCTCTACCTCAAGTGAACACTGTTGTAAAAAAATAAAAAAGTTAATTAAATAATACATACACTTATTATACTCACGAATGTATTAGGTTGTCATAAATATTATTATTGAATTATGTTTCTTTTTCTATAATAAATATTGTTTAAAAACGCCTGATAATTATGCACCAACCCAATACATTTACATTTTATTCATTTATACAATCACCATTATTTGTAATGACTTGTTGCCACTTATCAGGCAACTCTTTGATATCGTTTGAGTAAAATACACTTCAACGTCAACAAAATTCCCAGTGTTTGCACAGATCCTGACTACCCCTATCTCATAACGTGCATGTTTTACCACTTATGGTGGTTCCTTTGACTTTTCTTCTTCCAAGCATGGCAAAGTCCTGCACTTACTATAGTGCAAGAGCAGCTGGAATCAAGGAGTGCTGAGCATGACATCTCATTGACGTAGATTTGGATGACCGGCAGCACCTCATTTATATGTTGTCTGGGGAAGAGATCAGTGCCATCTTGTCCCCAGCAATCTTGAGCAATATGTCTGGCCTCAATGCATTGATAACAATGCACATGCACTACTCATTTTCTATCCATGCAATTTCTTGTAACATGGCCCCAACCATTGCATTTATAGCAGGCGTTTCCTGGCTCTAACACTATTTTGGTTTGCTTGTGCAGCTACGACAATAGGTTCCTCTAAAGCAGAGTCATCTTTCTGGATAGTTCAATAATTCATTAAGCACTAGTGAGTCTACACAAGAGTTTGCCCATAAAAGTTACTTTACTCTAACTGGGAACCCTGCTAAGAATGCATATGCTAACACTCGTTTAGGTAGTCTGCCAAACAGGGTCGCCAGCTTCTTCATTGCAGCCAAATAAATGTCCAAATTTTTGCCTGGTTGCAGAGTGCATGCCGCAAATTGTTCGTAGGCAATGCAGGGGTCAATGGCAAACTCTTTATAGAATACAGCCTTGATTCTAGCTGGATTTAAGAAAGGCTTATTTGCAAGTTTGAGTAGGTGAGTCATTGTGGTCATTTCAGACAGTGATGTTTGCTAGCAAACATCACTGTCTGAAATGGCCACAATGACTCACCTACTACTTTTCTTGATAAAAGAAGAACGACCCTGCCAGAGGAGATTGGTTTGTGCATGGAGAAGAAATGAACATGTGGGTTGATACAAGCTCACTGATTGGAGTCTTGTTGGAGAAGGACAGAAGTGCAATTGAGGATGTGGGCTGGCTGCGGCCAATAAACATCACCGCACATATTAGCCTGGTAGAGCTGGACGCTGGATTGAAGGGTATCAACTTAGCGCTCCAGTGGTGTGTTAAAAAGTTGCATATGCAGACTGACTCCTTATTCGTATACCATTGGTTGTCAAATACTTTGACAGCTAAAGCCAGAGTGTGCACCAAGGCAGCGAGTAAGATGCTGATCAGAAGGAGGTTAGAGACTATAAAGAAACTAGTCAATGAATATGATCTGTCCGTGGATGTAACATTAGTAACATCAAACTGCAACCTTGCTGACCCGTGTGCCACAAAGATGGTATGACATCATAAAAAAGGACGTTGAGCCTGTACCACTGGTATGTGCTGCTTCTGTGGAGGAGGCAGATGAGATAATGAAAATACACCATTGCAGTGGGCACCCTGGTGTAAGGACATGCTATTTTGTATGGTTGACCAATCCCTTGGTGTCCACAAGTACTCTCAGGGCTGCAGTCAAACATGCCAGTCAATAGACCGCGCACCAGTCAAATGATGAAAAGGGAAGCTGGGAGTAAGCAGCATTTAGAGAGGGCTGAGTATGGATATAACACTTTATGGCAGCCAGCATTTCCTCACGCTTATAAATCGTGGACCCACCAAATTCGCAGTCTGACTGCGATGCACACATGTACCAAGTGGCAATGGCATAGCAGAAAGGTGCCACCGAAGTGTAAAGAGGATTGCTGCCAGAAAGCAGTGTATAGTCATGGAAGCAGTGTATAGATATAACACGACACCAAAGGACGACATGTCTACTACAAGTGCACCTACCAATGCAATCTACACCTACCAGGTACGAGTCAAAGGGATCAACAGTGTGTATCTGCTTGAACGAAGAGAAGTGCGTGGACCACATAGGATAGGAGACTCTGTCTGGGTGAAGCCTCCCAATAGCCACCAACTTCAAAAAAAGGCATGTCACCAATATCATCAGTGAGCATTCTGTATTGGTCAACGGACTCCTGTGCCATGTCAGGGAACTCTGCCCTGCCCTCTAACTGACACCATTGAGTGACAGTGAAAATCAAGTTGCTGATTCAGCCCATATCATATGAGATCGACGATTCACCTGGGAACCCAAGTAATAATGTTGACAGCTCTGACAGCTCTTCTGAGAGCTCCTCCAAGGAAGAAGTTCAGGCAATCCTCCTTTGGAGGAGCACCCAGAACAAAAGACCGCATCCGCACTGTTATGTGTATGATCATGAAACCAGGTGGGGAGTGTAGCAGACATAGTGAACCAGAATCAAATGGCAGAAATGGAGAACAAGACTTGCCTTATTCTTGACAAAACAGAATTCATCTTTGTCTTGCATGTAGGACTTCAATTTGAGAGAAGGTGAATGCGTCATTCCATCAAAAGAGACCCTTCTTTGTTGTCCCACAAGAAATTTGATCATTAGCAACTTTACATAATATTAGCATAGTTGGATGGAATCGAGGAGGGACATCTAGTTGTGTTCATGCTCCATTCTGAGGTGCCCATGTGTCTAGTATGTTTATCATCCAGACAAGTGATTGGTGACTTGCGATTATAAGTAGACCATCATGGAGATGAGAGGCATCTTTTATTGGGGTACATTGTACGATACATGCAGTTGTGGTAGGAGGAAGGAAGGATGAAAGCAACGAATGATGAAGCGGATACATGGAAGAGAATTATGATAAATACTAAGAAACCGGTGGAGAAAGAAGAAACGCCCAATCTGAAATTACGTCCCAAGACAGGGTCGCTAATTCTTTTGACCACACAAAATTCCACAGGTTTTGACGTGAAGTTTTCTATGAACTCTTGAACCTGTTTTTCATTGGATAAAGTTTCCCCCATCAAAGCATTTCACAGTTATTGAAAGAGGGATTAATTGGTCAGGTGAATATGGTCAACAGGGTGGAACAGATCAACTAAGTTCCAAAAGTTTTTCCTTTATTATTTTTGATGTATGCATCAACCTTGTATTGTCATGGAGAACAACCTTTTCCTTTTTATCCACCGTGTATGCTGCCACTGTTGTGCATGAGATTAATGCATGTTAGTGTATTCCAAATTTATTCTTAACTACCACATATGATTAATAGTTACGATGATACAAAGATCATTGCAATTGGTTCCTCAAAACGGAAATTACTTATGACTCAATATATATCTGCCTGTGTGTGTATTATTATTCTTTATGTGCCATATCCCTTTAGCTCTCCACAATTTCCTATCCTTCATAGCTCTTAATAAATTTTGACTTTTTGTTATCTTTCCTAATCCGTGTTCTGCTGACCATTTACACAAGATCATTCTTCTTCTATATGTCATGCCCATTCAGGATGTAGGTGATCATGACTCTCCACAATTTCCTATCCTTTGTAGCTCTTAGTAAATTTTGTCTTTTTGTTATCTCTCCTAAACCTTGTTCTGCCATCCATTTACTCAAACTTACTAATTATGTTAAGCATTGTTTTCCTCTGTCTTTCTTGCCTTTACTTTGTCCTGTAAGTATCAGATTTTCCAAGCCCTCTTTCCTCATTATGTGTCCTACAAATTTCAACTGTCTCTTCTTGATGTTAAGTATGTTTCCTTTTTGTTTCCATTGAAAAGACTATGATGTCGGACATGAATTAACATGACAACTGATACGAGATAACCTATGTCATTAACAGTGAAATGAGAACGACCTACCCTCTAAATTGACTAAAGGGTTTGACTTAAAATTTCTAGGTTACCAATTGTGACACACACAGGCTGAAACCTGACCATCACAATCAATATAAGAACACTAGTCATTCTCATTATGTGCCCTAAAATTTTCAACTGTCTCTTCTTGATAAGTATAAATTTCCTTTTTGTTTCCATTGAGGGATTGTCCAGCATTCACTGCCATATAAGAGGACAGATATCACATAAAAATTCAGAATCCTTTCCTTTGTTTCTAATGAAATCTTTCTGTCTCTTAATACTCTGCTTGGCTTTAGGAATGCATCTTTGGTCATCTCAATATACCTTCAGATTTCCATGTCACACTTTCCATCCTTTGTTAAAATGGATATTTAAATTTTTGTACTTGTTTGATTTTGATATCTCCAATATGTAATTTGCATTTTGGGCTCATCACTGCACTAAAAATCTATTTCTCTGTCTGATGGAGCCAAGAAGACACTGACAACATCCATAAAAAGAGGCCACATTCTGAGCAGATATTTGGCAGACTTAAGTATAACCTCATCCAATGTTTTGGCAATGGTGAGAATAGCTGTTTCCATAGAGAAAATATTTGACATTCAATGACCAAACAGTATTACAAGTGGTTGAAATTTATGAAATCTCTCTCTTAAAAACTGTTTTTCCAGAAAAGAGACAGGTGGTTGTAATGTCAAATTGAACCCTTTATTTTGCTCACTGGGGTAGACTGTTCTAGTTCTACATGCCATGTCTAATGGATGTCAGTTATCAGTTATCTCCTGTTAATTCCCCTCTTCAAGTTCTCCACTGCCTTAACCAGGTATTGAACTCACACTCTTTAGGTACTGTCACTGGATCTAACCAATGCCTTTATCCACTTGAGGTCACATGGTACAAAAGCAAAAACATTATGGTAGATATGGCAACATAGATGAGGACGATAGTCCAAACAATGTAAATAGTTTACATAGTAACTCAGAAATATAATACTACATAATACTACAGAAATATAGACCGATAGCTCATACTTTAGTTTAATGGAAACAACAATATGATGTCAAACATGAATTAACAAGACAGAATTAACTGATTCAAGATAACCTATAACATTAACAGTGAAATGAGAACAAATTACCCTCTGAATTGAATAAAGGATTTGACTTAAAATTCCTAGATAATCAATTGTGACGCACACAGGCTGAATCCTAAATATCACAATCAATATAAGAACACTAGTCAGCATAATTGAATGTATGATAAAACTGTTTTGTTATGAATTTATAATGAGAAATTAATTTGTAACAAATATATGAGGTCTTTCACACACAGTGACCTTGATTTTTAATCATGTTGAGTACAATTGCTTTCAGACCAACTTAGTCTTCTCAAAATACACTTAAAAATTTATTTTGGTTCAAATTTAGTGTCTAGTTTTAATATCTATGTTCATATACTTATATGAAATTTTGTCAGTTGTTTCTTCAACATTCTTTCTGGCCACTAACACTTCCACTGCTTATGTGCCTTTACAAAATTAACATTGCTTGTTGTATATATATATATATATATATATATATATATATAGCTGACTGGTGTTACTTTCAGCACTTGGTCCACTCATCAGGGGAGATGTGTGTGTATATATATATATATATATATATATATATATATATATATATATATATGCAGTACTTAATAGAAAGCACTCAATATCAGTGATAGATCTAACATATTGAGTTATATATAGATATGAGTTTGTGATGCTGATTGCCAAAAGCATGAAGCCAGGGTCACAAACTCATATCCATACAACTGAATATATATATATATATATATATATATATATATATATATATTGTGTGTGTGTTTGTTTTCAAGACTTACATCTTTACAAAACTTACATCACTTGCTGTCATATATATATATATATATATATATATATTTCCAAAACTTGCTTATACATCTTTCTGAAACTTTGTCTCCTATCAATGAATGTATATGCTTGCATAGCACTGGGAAATGTTGGTACCTAGTGTTTGTGTTATAATCTAACACTTAGTGCTATTTCCACATCAGCATAGACATATAGTGGGGTGTGCAACACAACCAGTTTAAGCGACATATTTTTACTATCTTGTGTGTTGAGAGGAGGGTGTTGGCAATTTCTTATTTTTTGTAAACAGGTCATCACTGCCAGGCAACAATGTTTTAACAAATGATGGAACTAACTTGAAGTTTAAAAATATTTTATTACCGAACAAGAAAATTATTTTTATTAAAATTTTTGTGTTTACTTTGTCCTCAAGAAAATGACTTTCTTAATGAACAAAAACATTTTTTCTTATGTAAACTATTTTTGCTTGCGGACTATTGTCCTCATCTTTCTTGTTATTGCAACGTTTCAGCCATTGTGCTCTCTGGCCTTCACCAGGTACATGTTGATCATGGATCGGGATCAACATATACCTGATGAAGACTGGAGGGCACAACAGCCAAAACATTGAGAACAACAACAAAGATGAAGATAATAGTCTGCATATAAATAGTGTAGATAATGATAAATCCTTATGCCAGAAATTTTAGTTTTAATAATGATTACAATATTTCTTGAAATATGTCTGCTCTCTTACATGGTCATGAAAACTATATGATTTCATCACAAATGACTTGACGCGATTGAGATGTGGTTCTGCTTAAGAATATTGGGAATATCATTGGTAGAACATGGGACAAATGAAGAAGTTTTATGAAAAATAGGGGCTACAAAGAAATTACACATAGCAATCAGAAAGATAACCCAGAAATCTTTGGGACACATCATGAGCAAAGATGACTTGGAGAATTTAACACTCACAAGGCACATTGAATTATTTTTAAGAGTGATATTCATCTTGTACAAGGCCCAAGAACCACTCTAGGTAGAGAGTTATAAAGAGGTACAATTTATGTGGATATGTAGAAGTTGAGAGAATCAGGAAATCATAGGCAACTTATTTGAGAAGTTTGAACAAATGGATGGAGGAACGGATACCACACAGATAAAGAGGGTGTGACACAATTACATCTGTTTAGGGTATAGGATTTTACAAGCTAGTGTTAGTAATCATACTGTGAGGTTAATTATTATTGTTTACTCATCGATACAGAACTTTCTTATGATACCTGCATTTTTTTTAGTTCTCAACCTTTTTAGATTTTGCACAGACGATTATTTCTTTATATCATTGATTTTAACAGTCTGCTATTATCATAACAAAAACCTCGCCACCTAGTGTCACCTGTGTGAGAAAGATAACTGGAATTATCTCTCTTGCATTGGCAACATTAGACAGAGAATATACAAATTTATACAGTTACTCATAAACTATTTCTCTTTTAATTGAATTTTTTTTCTTTTTTTAGAAATGTTCATGGCCTCATGGCTAAAGATTATGCCTATACAGAGGCAATGAAAGAAGCTTTTAATACACCTGTTGTAACAGATTCATCAACAAATAACTTGCAGGTAAGTTATATTATTTACTGTAAATACAGGGTGTGCCAAAAGTAAGCTTATGCTAAATAATAGTTTAGCTGACTATTATTTTTAAAGGAAGTGTATCTTGGGCCCCAACTTCTGGAATTTGACAGCTGGGGTCAGATGTGAAACATAATAGGGAAGTTGATTTTGATTGGCTGAGCTAGTGTTGGAAAGAGATGGGAGAAAAGGTTTCAGCTAGTTGTTTTTTTTCCTGTCAAGCGATGTAGACGTGTTCTCTTTTGTGTTTGAAACAGCTCCCCACTGAATGGGAGAGGCCCACTGGATAGTTAGATAAGTATATGTCATCATAATTTATAAAAATAGTTAACATTCTCTGTGTTGAAGTCTTTTATTGCTGAACTGAAATGATTGGAGTTTGCTGGCCAAGAAACAAAGCTGAGATTATTCAGTTTTCAACATGCATCACTTACACTTGGTAGGTATACACTTTACATTTTTTTTTAAACATTTTATTACATTTATATTCATTTGTTACAATCATATTTGTTCAAAACTGTTTATGTGCATTTGTTTAACACTTTACTTACATTTTGTTAGCACAGTTTGATCTCTTAAGTGCTCAAAATTCCTCAAGCCTCTCCAGAACACTATGAAACACAGCACGACACAAATCCAGATCTGCATCAATTTCAATAAATACTTCTGAGAACTTTTTTAATTTGTCCACTGTGTGGGGATTTCTCATATAAACCTTGTTCTTTACTACACCCCCCCAAAATAAATCCATTGGTGTTAGGTCAGGTGAATGTGGTGGCTATTTAATGCTGCCCCTTCTTCCGAACCAATGCTGTGGAAGGGTTGATTTACTTGACTCCCCACTGAGTCAGGTTGTGAAACAAGGTCAGTTTTTAACGTGGGGACCTGAGTGTCTTCACTCAGACCGCTGGTCTTAGTTGGTCATATCTGGTCCAAGCTGGTCAGAGCCAGTCCAAGCTAGTAATAGCTGTGATACTACCAGTATATGGATGGATCCCTGTGACTGGTATGTATCTAAATGTGTATACCCCTCAAGAGGGGACTTTACACACTCAATGCTGTGGAAGGGTTTGGTTAAGGTAGTCCCTTACTGACAAAGCATAATACAGAGGTGCTCCATCTCTCTCTCTATTTGTATGCCATTTCTGTTCATGATATGAGTGATCATGGCTCTCTCCAGCATCCTCTCTCTTGTTTCTCTCAACAATACTCTTTCATGACCCTTTCTTTTTTTGGTACTTGTTCTTCCAACTATTTGTACCATCAAGCATATCTTGAATTTTCACCTGTCATGATGAACAATTGTACTCACAATGAGGCTCTATGCCTTGAGCATCTACTGGGACTCAAGTGGAAGATATGATCTCTCACTAAAGATGCTGGAAAAATGGTCAGTTCCTGGTACCACTCAAGTAAGTACCTGACTCCTCCTGCAATGCTCTATCTTTACAAGAGCCAGACCGGACCAAAAATGGAATATTGTTGCCATATCTGAACTAGATCTGCTCTGCTCAGTTCTCACTTTCCAGCTTTGATAGAATTCAAAAGCATCTGTATAGCCTTGTGGGTGATGAATTATTTTCCACCCTACAATTCTCACAGACAAAATATCACAAGCCTATTGCTACCCTGTATTACTATTTCTATGGCAAATGACATTTACTACTTAGTTCCACTTCAGCTCAGATCTATGTAGTGAGGACATTTGTATTCCATTGATAAGATGGAAATTCTACTCAGACACCTTCTTCCCAATTATTGTTACATTGTAGAACAGATTCTTGAAAGGATGCTTCCCCAATCACTACAATTTTAACCACTTCAAAATTTGAATCAACTATTATCTATCCTACATATCCTCATAATTCTTACCTTACAACAATCTTCTTCAATAGTATCGAGTGGCACTTAGGCCTTGTATTAGATTAGCAGTAGTAGTAAAAAAAAAAAAAAAAAAGAAAAATCAAATAGGTTATTGTTTCCTGTTCTTTTCTTGACAAGCCTCTACAACCATCTGTGTAGAAGGAAAATTGATTTGAACTCTTGTTGACAAAATCAAACTAATAAATTTTGGTCAGATAGCCAGCACCTAAACCACTTTCACCCACTCCACTTTAACAACCCAGCAGAAGGAAGAAAAAAAAATCCTGTAAATGGTGGATAAACTCCAGAGTCAGCTAACTATGGATAGTCTCAAGAAAAGCACTGTGGAGAAGGCAATGGGAAACCACTTGACTCAATCTATTTTGAAGAATTATGTCAATTGATAGATTAAAAATATCTAACTTTTTTTAAGTAATCTAATTAATTCAGTATCACATGCAAGTAGTCTAATGTTTATTGCTGCAGAAAATGGAATTGGCACGCTGAGTTCAAATTCTGTCTTGGTTTATTGTGCTCTCTTTGGAAAGGTATTCATCCACATTTTCACCCACTCCCCACAACTATAATACAATTCACAGAGTAGACTGGGTTATCAACCAGTCTAGGAAAGGACAACTCTGAATTCCAAACCATGGAGTAGCCAACAGCAAATCACTCTACTATCTTTCCAATAAAGTCATTCCAATTTGCAGATAATAAAAGAAAGGAATCTGTGGAGAGGGGTCATGGCTTTACAAAGATGTTTTTTTTTTTTTTTAACACAGATGATAGTGTCAGTGTTGTTTACTTTCCTTGATCAGAAGGTAGAATATTTATGTACTATAAGCTGAACTAATGGAAATTCCAAAGATGTCAACAACTAAGATTATCCATTATCTCATGTCTCTGCTCTTCTCTCACCCTTTGTCTGTATCTTCTCATTTTCACCCTTATCCCACTAGCTGGACCCATAGAAATTCCAGAGGTGCTAACAACTATTATTATCCATTATCTCATGCCTCTGCTATTCTCTCGCCCTTTGCCTGTATCTTCTCATTTTCACCCTTATCCCTTCCAATACAACTAAGATTATCCATTATCTCATGTCTCTGCTCTTTTCTCACCCTTTGCCTGTATCTTCTCATTCTCACCCTTTGCCTGTATCTTCTCATTCTCACCCTTTGCCTGTATCTTCTCATTCTCACCCTTTGCCTGTATCTTCTCATTCTCACCCTTTGCCTGTACCACTAGCTGGGCCCATAAAATTCCAGATGTGCTAACAACTAATATTATCCATTATCTCATGCTTCTGCTGTTCTATCGACCTTTGCCTGTATCTTCTCATTCTCACCCTTATCCCTTCCAATACAACTAAGATTATTCATTGTCTTATGCCTCTGCTCTTCTCTTGCCCTTTGCCTGTATCTTCTTGTTCTCTCCCTTATCCCTTTCAGTACAACTAATATTATCCATTATCTTATGCCTCTGCTATTCTCGTCCTTATCCCTTACAATACAACTAATTTTATCCATTAATTTGTCTCTGCTTATCTTCTGCCTTTTGCCTGTATCATATTCTTTGCCTAATCCTTTCCAATTTTTCTTGCTTATCCATGGTTTTATCTAAATGTTTTGTAGTAGGTATCCCAAATTGGCCTAGTTTACAATGCAAAAATAGGTCAAAAGAGTAAAATTTCCTTCAAGTTCAACTGGCAATATCTCAAGTATTTTTTAAGTTATGTTGATAAAATTAGTATGTAAAGAAAATTTAATGTTTTCTCTTTATAATGATACAATTGTTTCTTTTGTGTGATAATTAGTTTTTATTCCAGGTCTTGTGTTTGGAGTTGTGTGTTCCTATGTATATCAAAATAGTCCCATCTTAAAGAAAAGAGGATATTTATCAATTTGGTAGGATTAAAATAAAATTTGAAGTTATTTTTCACAAAAAATTTCCAAGTTGAAAACTTCAATGGATGAAATACCAGAGAAATTGACTTAAATGACGATTACACCTTGTTATAGAGCAATTTTTTGTCTTTAATGATCAGTTGGTTTCATATCACTATGTCCAACCAACTTAAAACACAAGCAAATATAAAAGGAGGTGGTTTTGAAATTTGAATTCACCAGCTGCCCTGACTGACATCTGATTTAAAAAATTTGACTTGTTTCATTCATCAATGGACATTTCAAAATTTCTAGGTGAGTGTAAATCTTTTTCTTATATTTCTTATGTTTATTCTAAAGTTGTATAAAGTAAATTTTGTGATGTCAATGAACACTTATTACCACTTTTGTAATGTCAACAAATGCTCATTGTCACTTTCATAATGCTCATTGTAGTAGAGACTTTGTAATTGCAAATACAACTATAGTAACGTTGTTGACCAATACTGATGTCAGATGCTTTCGAATAACACTTGTACTAATAGTATTTACTAAATAATACTCGCTTAAAAAGTAACCACCGAATAGCGATCCAAATAGTAATCTGTATATAGTAATCACATAGACACCACGCTAATTCTCATATATACATTTTCTTTACCATCACGTGATCTACTTATTCAAAATGGGATTGCTTGTGTTTGCTCTCTGGTGATCTGTGTTCAAACTCCAGTGTTGGTAGCCACACTTTATTTTTTCCAGTGAATTACTTATTGTGTAAGTAAATAGGCATTAAAAAATAAACTAGAAATTCATATTTCAATTAAATTTTATACACTCATATTTGTCCTTGAAAAAAAAAAAGGAAACTTTGTGTATATAAAATAATGTTATTTTTAAATGTACATATATAAATCTTCTATTTGACAAAAGAAAAAAAAGGTAAATTGTGTATGTAAAAAATGGAATAATTGTAATTTTAAAATGTGTGTAATTAATTTATTTTTTTAAATCTTACATTTGTGTACGTAAAATATTGTAATTTTAAAAATGTTTATTAAAATTTTATATTTACTAATTAACTAATTTTTGGGATTAGCTCCTAAACATTGAACATTTAATTTATTTTTAATTAGACTCAATACATTTTATAAAATAATAAAAGGATACATTTTTCAATTGAACTAGACATCCCTTGATTAATGCATTTTTGATTAGTGCACTAAAATTTTTATA